TTCACCTTAAAAGTCAATAACTGTGAACTCTCACTGACGTCCAGGCCATTGTAGTAAGCAATAAAAGGGGCGTGGGGAGGGGGGGATTTATAACAGCTGAGAGGAAATTGTTACCTAAAATGGTGCAAGCACAGCGTTGCCACATCCTGCCCAGGTGGAGGAGCAGTGGGCCTTGTAAAACCTGGTAGAGGTGAAGTATTCAATGCCTGCCACCATGGCGTGTTTCCTTGTAATAGATCCTGTAAGTGCTTGAGAAATGTTTTCTTTTGTTCTCCCTGAGCAAAGGCTGGAAAAATTAGAAATTTACTTGGAAACCACACATAATTTGTGTGCAGCTTAATTTTTGAAGTCTTTTGTCAACAGTTTAAGGAACTGTTATATGTGTGCTACTTCATTTGATTCTCACGACAATCTTGCTACCGCTTTATCATTATTATCACCTTTCACACAGCCTATTGCAATAGCCCTCAAACTTGTTGCCAGTGTCTCTCACATCCAGTCTATTGTCCTCCTCTGCTTCCCAAGTTCCTATTTAGGTCACCAGAGTCTAACAGAATATTATATAGTGTATATAGAGCATTATATACAGTATATAGTGTCTAATAAGCATTTATGGAATAATTCTTCAGTTTGCAATGTAGAAACTGATGGATCAGGACTCAAACTGCTAATTCTGCTAATTAGTCTCCCTACTTCCACACTCTGCCCATCCACCGTAATCCATTCTCCTACAAGGGTCAGAATGATTAGATCATAGCCCTCATCTTCCTCAGTCCCTTCAGTGAATTCCACTGTGCTCTGATAAAGTCCGGTCTCTTGGCCACAGCCTACAAAACCTTGCAAGATGTAGTTTCTATCTTTCCATCTCATTCATGCTATTCTTGCCTTATTCTCCATTCTCTAGCCCTGCTAGCCTCCTTTGGTTCTTTTCCAATTTATTTTTATTTGTATAAATTTATGGCGTACAACTGCAATTTTTTTTACATGTGTAGATTGGATAGTGGTGGAATCAGGGTTTTTTTATTCTGTCACCTGCATAATGTACATCGTACTCGTCAAGTAATTTCTCATCATCCACCACCCTCCCACTTGCTCACCTTTTCGAGTCTCCATTGTCTGTCATTCCACACCCTATGTCCATGTGTACACATTATTTGTCTTTCACTTATAAGCAAGAACTTGCAATATTTGTTGTTTTTTTTTTTTTTTGAGTTGGAATCTCACTCTGTCACCCAGACTGGAGTGCAGTGGCCACTCCCGGCCACCGCAGCCTCGACCTGCTGGGCTCCGGCGATCCTTCTGCCTCAACCTTCCAAGTAGGTGGAACTACAGACGCGCATAACCACGCCTGGCTAATTTTTGATTTATTGTAGAGATGAGGTCTCACCAAGTTGCCCAGGCGAGTCTCAAACTTGCGGGCTCAGGCAATCCACTCACCTCAGCCTCCCAAAGCGCGGAATTATAGGCTGAGCCACTGAGCCCAACTGGAACATGCAATATTTGCATTTCTGTGTCTGACTTGTTTAACTTAAGATAATGGCCTCCAGTTTCATCCACATTGCTGCAAACGGCATGATTTCATTCTTTTTTTTTATGGCTGTGTTCTTTCCTAATTTAGATCAAGAACATTCTCACTTGCTCTTCTATTTAGAATACTATTTCCTAGGCTGCTTGCACTGCTTTCCTCTTCTCACCCATCAAGTCTCATCTTAGATACCACCTCTTCAAAGAAGCCTTTCCCAACTACCTTGGCAAAATGAACCATTTGCCCTCCAGTTGCTTGATAGCCCATACATGCCCATTTTATTCATAGGGCAAGTCAAAATCTGGAATTATCATACATGTTTATTTTCTGACTCCTTCTACTGGAATAGAAAACTCCTCTGGGTAAATACCTTGTTTGCTTGTTCACCATGCTACTGGGGGGACTCCCCCAAAATCCAGAATCTATTTATTAAAAATTGTGTATTTATTCTCACATGCTTAAACTTCAGCTACCTTCAAAGTACTCTCTGTTTGATGCAATACACCTATCTAGATGCTTTTCCCACTGTTCAAACAAAATTTTGAACTCGTCAACTTTGATGCTTTTCAGTGCTTCTGTGATTTTTTGTTTCACCTCTTCCAAATCTGCAAAACGTTTCCCTTTGAGGACTTTTTAAAAAACCACTCAAGGTGAGATCAGGTGAATAGGGAAGATGGAGCATGAGGGTCATGCTGCTTTGTGTCAGAAACTGCTGAACACTCAGCACGGTGTAGGTAGGTGTGCTCATAAATCACCCACCATGACATAAGCAAATGCATTGAAAGAACCTCCAAAAAATATTCACTAAAGCCAAATGCAGCCTCTCACAACAATGCTAGCTGGTGCACTGATGCCGGGGGTGTGGGCGGGGGGGATAGGAGTGTCCTGAATATTCACCTAGCAGGGAAAACCTGTACTACAAGAGGCCCACCTTCCAAAAGAATAATTCCAGGTTTTTTTGCTCCCCCCGCCATAATGCGGCTCTTCAAATAGTATCTAATGCAGAGCAGGTACTCAAAAGATATGTTTCAAATGAATAAATTTAAAAAAATATTCTGAGAGCAGAGTTCTTCCACACTACCAGAATCATCCAGGAATGACACATTATAGAATAATAGAATGTAATGCTTTGTGCATAGCAGAGAAAGAAGGTGGAAAGTTGTCAAGGTATTATGATGTACCCATCCTCGCCTCCTCAAACACAATTGGCAAGTCTCACAGTAAAAACAATAAGTTAACTCATGGGAAAATTTTTCAAACATTCTTTTAAAGTATTAAAATTTCTGAGAAAGCAAGAAACCATAGCCAAAGAAGAGAGTGAATATGAAATGCCTGAACAGAGTAATGGGCTAACTGCAAAGTCAGATGACCTTGTTTTAATAGAGAACCCCGGCAGTGAGGTACAAAGCAGCACTTGCTTCCATGGAGAAAAAGAAAAATTGGACAAAATAGGCACTTCTTGAATAAAATGTATAAAATTAATATTGGGTTATGTTACCTGTTGTGTAGACTCTAATGACAAAAAATATTTGCCCAGCACTTTACAGTTTAGTAATATCTCTATTTACACAGCTTATCTCACTTGATAAGACTATAGATAGGATAGCACAGTGGAATATCCACATAACCTAGTATCGAGAAACCTGTATCTAAACTTACCTCTATTAGTAGGAAGCTCTGACCTTGGCAAGTCAGTTTCCCTCTCTGGTTCGTTATTTTCTCTTTGATGAAATGAGGGTGTTAAACTAGATTGTCTTTAGAGTCTCATTTAGCTCACTATTACAGCGATTTATATTTAACTCATGACAAACCAGACTTCTCTTGTTCTAGGTCTGAGACATAAATTCCATATTGTGAATTTCAGGCATCAGTATATCTTTTCAAGACTTCACTCGTGTTCCTAAAACCAAATTATTTGAGTGATCATTTTCTTAGATGTCCAGGTAAACAAAGAAAGCACTGGTCTCTCTTTGTGTGGTCTTCTCTCTCTTTTAATTAGCCTTTCCTCTTTAATGCCAGTTCTGACTAGTGTCTCTCCCTGGTCTACCTTCCTTGGTCTGAAGGTCTCTCTCATCTCCAATTGCACTGCCATTCCTTCCACACTACCACCACCACGGAGGGCTGTCAACTTTCATTTGTTCTATATTATCATTCAAGGTGCCCAGTAGCTAACCTAAAAAATGTCTTTCTGTCATCATGGGAGAAAGCTAGAAACTTTTCCCTATAATTTAAATGCATTTTCTGTAGGTTATGATCCTCACACCCTTTCTTGTTTGCTGTCTCTTTGTTCTGCTAGCCATGGAAGGGGTGGGGGACCAGTGTGGGATGTTAGGGGCACAGATGGGGGCAGAGGCACATTTGAGCATTTTTTTCCTACCACTTTTTCTTCTGTATTTTCAGTATCTTTTCATCTCACTGGAACCCACCTATTTTTCCACTTTACCTGAACCATTTGCTGCCTCTGTTTCTTATATGTAAAGTACAGTTCACTGTAGCTTATGATCAGGAGTCTCTCTCCTGTCAAAATGAAAGCTGCTCTGGTCAGACACAACAATTAATTTTCTCCTTCCACTCATAGATACCTTATATGAAGACGTTCTCTCTGTAACTCTGGTGTGAGTATTTGAGTTACGACTATAAGATGGGAAACGCCCAAGTGATTCTTTGACAGATTCAGTCCATGATACTGGACGCAAAATATACTAATTGTCCAGGTGTTCAGAAGCACCTGCAGGGTTGAGTATTCTTAGGTTCAATCTGAAGCCGCGTGATATGCAAGCCATACTACATAATTTTCTACCTGTTTGCTCACCCTCTCCTTTCCTTTTTCTCTTGTAAAATACCAGGAGGAGACTTAGAATTACAGAAGACATAAAACGTTATACTAAGAATTAGTGTCTGTTTGTTCATTTACTCTCTCCTCTGGTCCTCAAGCTGCTGTTTTAGACATTTTACAGCAGGCAGGCATATAAAGGAAGGATTGTAAGTGCTAAGCTGTATTCTGTTCTTAGTAAGATTTCTAGCAAAGTATTCCTCAGTCAGGTTGGTTACAGATGTAGCAAATCTCTTTCCTTAGGCTGGTTTTTCTATGCTGCTGGGCATATGACTGTCTGTCATCAGCTATTTCTGCCCACACTCCTGTTTGCATGACAACCAAGAAGGCAAGTTCTGCAAATCGCTGCCTGGAGACGATGATCCTGTAAACTCCCTTTTGGAAACAGTGAGAATCAAATCTTGGACCATGTATAATAGGATGTTTCTCATCCAGAAGAGGAAGTGCATTGGGGATCAGCCCCAAAGAAAGTCCTAGAACTCCTGTTGGCACCTTTCCTTCTAGGAAGCAACTTTCCTTGATATGATTGTTATAGACAAATAAACAAACCCCATAGGTTGCAGCATTGTAGACTTTTGTTTTCCTTTTGTAGAAATTCAAAACCTCACACATTGGTAAAAACTGGATTTTTTTTTTTTTTTTTCTGTATGCCTACTTTGCAAGAGGATTTTCTCGCTTGTTCACTTTGCATTGTTGATGCGTCAGTCCTTTCTTCCTCCTCTCTTCCAGGGGCTGGAGGGGCAGAGCCAGACGGAGGAGCCGGCACTGCGGAGCTGCCACCTGATTGGCTGGACGGTCGCGGCTGGACTATAAAGGAGGCCCCTGCAGGCTTGCGAGGGAGACGCTCAGAGCATTCTGACTGCATCTTCACAGGGGAGGAGGCAACGTGCGCTCAAAACAGACGCCACAGCTCCTCCTGCCGCATTTTTTGCTTGTTTACCAATCCCACGCTGTTAAACAAGATGTGCAAAGGACTTGCAGGTCTGCCGGCTTCTTGCTTGAGGAGGTAAGGTTGTTTTCAGCCACTAACCATGTGAAACTTTTGGATAGAATCTCTGTTATTTTTGCATGTCATACTTGCTAACCCAGTTCTTTGGAATAGAAACAGTGTGGTCAGGAAAGCAACAGCTTTCTAGCTTTCCTCCAAGACTAGCTGGATATTGTGACTTAAGGAGTGTTGCTCCCTCAATTTCGGTACCTATGTGTTGTTTTATGCGACCTCGGTTTCAAGAATTGTTCTGATCTTTAATTCAGATTCCCTAACCAAGCTAGTTTTAAATAAGTGATATGAAGTTTGGGTTATGTATAGTGGTCTGAAATATCTCTATCTGGGATTACTGGTGTTATTGCACATCACTGAAATACTTAATTCCAGGTCTGGGCTTTCTGATAGCATGCTAGATTTTATTTGGGGGAAGATATCCCAAAATGAGGTTTGGTTACATTGTCAGAAAGGCACCACGCTTTCTGTGTGTTGCTGCGGTATCTTTCACTCTCTATGTTTTTACAAGCAAATGTTGCAGTAAAATAGTTTCAAAGCTAGATCTCCCTTATCTCTCTGTTCCTATTACCAGTTCTTAAAGTATCTTATATGAATGGCAGTTGAGAAGTATTGATCATAACAAATCAGTTAAGGGTTTTACAGATCTCATCCTAAGCATGTAGTTTTGTCAATGTACTCTCTTGATTAAATTAAAAAAAAAAGATCATAAAGCTATACAGCTATTCATCTATTCTGGGCTTTTTTCAAAAAAAAAAAAAAGGTTTAGGTAAATGCTTTCAGAGAATGCTCATATTAGCCAGTTGAAAATAAAACACAAAACTAGTGCATATTAGTAACTTAATCTTCTAATTAAAGGAAAACAGTCCATTTAAAGCTATGCTACTTCCTTTCTTGTCTCTCTGAAAATAGAGATGACCTTAAATTTTAATTTGGAAATAATCCCCAGAAGCATAGTCTTTTGTGTGTTACTAAAAAGCTTACTCTTCATATATTCTGTCATTTTATAGTATGAAAGAATTGATATCTTCTTTAAAATGGAACAGGAGGGTCTGGCAGAGAGTACCTGTTAAATACATGCCTCTCACCTGAATTGAGTGGAGCAAATCACTCCAAGCTTCAGTTAACTTCTATGTAATCATATAAAATACAAGAGTGTTATGAGAAAGTTATGGCTCTGGCAAATATTTTGGAAGACCGATGACTGATAGCATTAGATCTCTGCCCTCAGAGTTAAGCAGCTAACTCAAAGAGGTATGTCAGCAGAGTGCTCTCCCTTTCCTTATTGATGAATTGTAAATAATCTAGTCCACCACGTTTACCACGAGTGCCTGAGGCTCCAGAGGGGGCATCAACTGCTCAAGGTCACTTGGGAGTGAAGATCAAATCCAGGTGTCCTGACTCCAGTGACTTCCGAAATCATTTTGTTTTTTGTGTTTAGGGTTGGATTGTGTTAAAGGAATACTTTCTAAGCGTACTTCCAACTCTTCTTGAAATGACCCTGTATTCGTCAATAACTGTTGGATCTCAGGTGGATCCAACACATGGAAATATGAAGTAATTTCTATTTGGACTTCATAATACACTTAGTATGTCATCATCTTAGAATCACTTTAGCCTTCATTATTATACTTTTATATTGCCAAGAAGGATTTTGCATCCCCAACCAGACATCAGTCAGAGAAGCAGAGAAGGTAAAACAGTCTTGAAGGGGAGAGAAAATACTACTTAAAGAGCAGCCCAAGAACATAATGGAATTCAAACCTTCTGAGAAAACATATAGATAAGCCACTAGAGTAGCAGTAGCTATCCTAAAATGTTTTTATATCCTTGTGGTTTCATTTTTCCCCCGCCAAATAGGAACATCTAGTTCCTTCATTTTTTTAATGATAAACTATTTATTGACTTTTATAATAGAAGAGATGCAAGCAAAAGAATAATTAATAAAGAGTAAGAGCTGAGATAAAAGCTTATTAAAGTCCCCTCCTCCCCCTTTTCTAGTCAGTCAGCAGACCTCTGTGCCCTGGCTACCTATGAAATGATGGCAAAAACTGGAAGCGCTCTGTAATTAAACAATCACTAGCTTCAGTGATGACTTACTTCTTATTGTTTTTAAGCCTCAAATGCCCTTTGTAGTGTATATATCCACTAATAAAGGTATTAAAAAGAAAAGTAGCAGCGGGAGAGTACTAGAAACAAGCCTCAAGGAGCTCAGCTTTGAGCTTGAGCATTTGTGTTCGTCACCCAATGGTCCACTTCTGCCTGCTGGAGCCATGCCTCTCGGTATATACTCTGTGTATACCCCATAAAGTGAATTGTTTGACCCATCACATACATGGTTGGAACTGGAGAGACCTTTACTTTCCTGAGGTGCTTCTGCAGTTCCCTCTCTGCCAGCTGGAAGACAGATGAAAATAGCAGTCACCCGCCAGAAGGTGGCTTGCAGCAAGGATATGCCATATCCTTGCAGTTACTATTTGCTTTCCAAGTTTTAAAAATTACTGAGGGAATAATCATGTTTTCAATGTGGTTCTATTGGAGATACCAAAGGTGTTCCCTTGGTCAAAATGACAAGTGTACAAAAGAGCCTTCTGAGGTCAACTGGAAGGTCAAAATTCTAGTTGTGGATAAAGAAACTAGTATTACGTCTCTGGTCTCAAGGTAGTGTAGCAAGGCATAAGCAGAACCAAAAGGGGAATCTTGTTTTCGTCAGAGTTTGTGCCAACACCAACTCCCATTCCCTAACTAAACTGCCACTGCCCTAAAGACTAGTAATGAACTCTTTAAGTTTTACTACTAGGCTGTCTTTTAAAGAAAGCTGGTTATCTTATCATTCTCATTTTTTCTCTTCTGTGCAGTGCAAAAGATATGAAGCATCGGCTAGGGTTCTTGCTGCAGAAGTCTGATTCCTATGAACATAATTCTTCCCACAGCAAGAAGGACAAAGTGGTTATTTGCCAGAGGTAAGAGAAAAAAAGGTCTTGGTGAAGATCCAATGAAGTATTAACTATCTGATTATAGAGATGTTCTATAAGAAGAGAAGGACATTATGCCTCTGGTTAAGCCAGGTATAGACCAGAATGGCCTCCATTTTCATGGAGACATCATTACATTTGAAATTTTTATTAGTGAAGAAACTGCCCTATCTTATCATAATGATAAAAAAAAATATCTTCATTATATTTAGGATCTTAGGTTTCTTGTTCCAATTTTGTATCATGGCCTTCAAAGTATTCTTTTTCTCTGTAATCTTTCTAGGGTGAGCCAAGAGGAAGTGAAGAAATGGGCTGAATCACTGGAAAACCTGATTAGCCATGAATGTAAGTCTGACAGCTCTTCCCAACCCAGGTTGAGGCTCTCTGGATAAGACAAATTATCTCATATCATGCTGGTATAATAGAGCTTCAAAAAGGCCTGAGTTCCTTCCGACTTCCAGACTTAGTAACCTTTTGCTCTTATATCCAATGTGTTTGAAATTTTGCCATGTGATATACAATGGAAAGTTCATACAGAAATCATGTGGAAAACTGTCTCTCTTATCACATGGAAAAAAGGCAGAAAAAAATTCTAAATATTAAGATATTGTTGCAGAATCAACCTCAATTTCTCTTTTCCAAATCCACCTTGGCAATTGATAGCTGCACAGGCATTTCAGAAACAAAATACTTTCTTGAAAGAAGCAAGAATTATTAGGTATAACTGGGTTCTTGAACACCAAACACAGATTAAGTTTATATGACACCAAGTGACCCTTTAAAAAGGGGGGAAATAAGGGATTGTTTAACCCATGCCTTGTTCCCAAGCACCTCAGCTTTATCTGAAGTACAATATCCAGGAGGTCAACCAATATGACAACTGTAGTTCTTTTTCCAATATCACAGGTGGGCTGGCAGCATTCAAAGCTTTCTTGAAGTCTGAATACAGTGAGGAGAACATTGACTTCTGGATCAGCTGTGAAGAGTACAAAAAAATCAAATCACCATCTAAACTAAGTCCCAAGGCCAAAAAAATCTATAATGAATTCATCTCAGTCCAGGCAACCAAAGAGGTAGGATATGCATAATAATTGTACATATTTATGGAGTACATGTGATATGTTGATACATGCATACAAAAGGTAATGATTAAATCAGGGTAATTGGGGTATCTGTTATCCCATTTATTATTTTTTTGTGTTGAGAATATTCCAAATCTTCTTTTCCAGCTATTTTGGAATACACAATTAACTTTTTTTTTTTTAAGTTGGAGTCTCACTCTATTGCTCAGGCTGGAGTGCTGTGGCATACTCATGGCCATCACAACCTAGACCTGCTGGGCTCAGGCGATCCTTTCACCTCAGCCTTCCAAGTAACTGGAACTACAGGCATGCGCCACCACGCCCGACTAATTTTTTATTTACTGTAGAGATGAGGTCTCACCAAGTTGCCCAGGCTGATCTCGAACCCATGGGCTCAGGAAGTCCTCTCACCTCGGCCTTCTAAGTGCTGGGATTATAGGTGTGAGCCATCAAGCCCAGCCCACAATTAACCATTGATAGTCACTGTACCATGCTATAAAACACTAGAACCTATTTCTTATATCCAACTTTCTATTTCTTCTACCCATTAGTCGCTCCTTCCAAAAACGTAGGTTTTTAAGGCAAGGAAATCTTTGGATCTCAGTGAAACTTTCCTAGAATAGCAGAGCAGGCTATTATAATCTTAACAACTCTGAATAAATCAGTTTTTTTAAATTAAAAAAAGCTTTCTCATCTGCGTGACTTACATAACCTCCCCTAGTGAATTTTTCTGATGAATATCTCCAGTTTGTGAGAAAGAACAGAAGATATTGTCCTGAAAACCCCGAATCAGAATGAACCTTTCATATCCTCTTACAAGTGCCGGAGTGGAGCCAAATGCCCTTTGCTATCACGCCTGGGCTATAAAGGGTCCACAGTCCCTTATTCACTCCAAAACATATACTTTTCCGTCTGCAACAGTGTTACAGGTCTAATGTCTGTGACCTTTGCCCCTCAGGTGAACCTGGATTCTTGCACCAGGGAGGAGACAAGCCGAAACATGCTGGAGCCTACAATAACCTGCTTTGATGAGGCGCAGAAGAAGATCTTTAACCTGATGGAGAAGGATTCCTACCGCCGCTTCCTCAAGTCCCGATTCTATCTTGACTTGGCCAACCCTTCCAGCTTTGGGTCAGATAAGCAGAAAGGAGCCAAGAGTTCTGCAGACTGTGCTTCCCTGGTCCCCCAGTGTGCCTAGTTCTCACTTGGAGCAAGGGCTGAAATGCCAAGACTCTATGCTCTGGAAAACCTGAGGCCAAATATTGATCTGTATTAAGTTCCAGTGCTTTATCCACATTGTAGCCTAATAGTCATGCTGCCTGCCATGTGTGAGTCACTTCTACATATAAACTAGGTCTAGTTTTGGTGTTTGAGTGTTCATCAGGGTGGGGCCCCACACCAGTCCAATTTTCCCGAGTTTCTTTTAGGGGGCCATGTGAGCAAGTATCTAAATAATTGCCTTGTAGGTCTGGATTTTCAAAGATTGTTGGCAGTTCTTTCCTCCCAACAGTTTGACCTCAGGTTGGTTGGTTAGGACATGTCACGAGACATCCACACGCACACATATTCTGTTAGCCAGCACTTTCTCCAGACTCTAGATGTTGAGATGAGGTTGATCTATTTATGTAAGTGTATGTATGTATATTATATATATATTCACATACACACATGCACATTCTGTATATATATATATAGATGTCTGTGTATACATATGTGTGTGTGAGTGTGTATATATACACACACACACATTTCTGCAAGGGTAGATGGGGAAGACCCTAGGTGCTCATAACTAGAGTGTGTGCATGTACTTACATGCATGTTCGATCTATGATCTTTCATACTGCATTTGAACAGGGCAAAACTGAGCTAATTGCCATGCAAGCTAAAAAAGAAATGCTAACCTGTGGAAAGTTGGTTCTGTAAAACTCCATGGGTCTTGCTAGAGAAGCATCATCCAAGGGAATTTATGCTTAATGTAACTACTGACAGCCTCCGCCTCGAGCACTGTTCTAAGGAGCAAATACCATAAAAATAATGTACCTGACTGGCACTGAGCTGTCTTGGGCTGGTTGTCACTAATGGCACTTTTGAGTTCCTAAGCTGTCAGCTTCTTCTTTGCCTGGGTGCTCAAGGCATGCTTCTTAGCAGCTGGTTTGTGTGAAATTGGAGACAGGATGCTTGAGCTGAATGAAGAAATGCAGTTGAAACTTTGCCAGCTATATCTACCATAAGTTACTGGCTGAGCAAGGATGCAGAATTTAAAACTTACTATTTTTACCCTCTATCCTTTATTCCTCTCTTGATCAAGGTGCTCTTCTCATTTTATTTTTCCTGAGGACCTTAGCCATCAGATGAAACTCTTTAGTTCATTGTGGTTAGTTGTGGTTTTTTTCCTCCTCCATACTGTCTCCAGGCAAAATGCTTATGTTTATAAACCAGCAGCAGGAGAAAGATTGTATTTCATAAAGGGGAAACAAGTTTCACAAACTGAAAAGCCACCCTAAGTTTTCTCTTGCAAAGTAGAATCTTAATTTCATCCCCTACATCAGAGCTAACTGAAACTGAAAGCATTTCTTTTTAGGCTCTGAGATTAACTGTGAGGACAAAATAAAGATGTATAAAATAAGATATATAAAATTTAAAAAGATACTAATTGTTAGAACTACTGTTTGAAACTTTTCAAGGCACATTGAAATACTTGAAAATTTCTCACTCATGTTATTTATGATGTTGTTTTGTATGTGTTTTTATTATTATGTTGTTTTATAAATGGAGGTGCAGGATATCACCTGAATTATTAATGAATGCCCAGGAAGTAATTTTCTTCTCATTCTTCTAAAATGACTGCCTTTGAAAGTGTGCATACACACATACACACACACATTACATGCATGAGCACCTTTGTGGCTTTTAAGTCAATGTACTGGGCTGCAAAAAGAAGACCCCAGAGTGTGTGTATACAAGTCTTAATGCAGTAAAGATGTAGGATATCTAAATGTACCCTTCTTGTGTCTCTGGCAATCTTGCCTTTAATATCTCCAGAGTTCCTCATCAGTTTCCCTTTCTGTTATACACAGTTCCACAATGTTGTCTCTAGTTGACTTCAAATGTATAACTTATTGCCCTATTATAACTGTCATGACTTTCAGATTGTATCTGAACTCACAGACTGCTGTCTCGCACATAGGTCTGGAGGGTCATTCTGAATGAGAAGTAAATTATTTTACACAATACATTTTTGAGTGTGGTTTTCGACTGTATTTTTCTGTTATTACATCACCATTTCATATGGTGAGCTTGCTTGCTCATGTCCATGCACAGAATACTCCCTCCTTATGCATGCCTATTTCTACCATGTGCTTTCTAGGCCTCAAAGCTGATGCTTCCAGTGAAACACACGCATCTTATCAATAAGGGTCAATAAACGCTTCATATGAAACTATCTGCTTGGAAACACATTAATGCTCCACAGAGACATGTTATGAGAACCAGCAGGGTGTAGAATGACTTCAGAAACAATGACTTATGTTGAGTCTTTTATTCCTCCCATACCAACTACCTCTGAGAAAGAAAGCATGGACTGAATATTATTTCTTCTCCAGTTCCTGCCACTACTCTGCCTGTCTGTACTCACAGAACCAAGGCAGTCTTGGCTTCGGAGACTTTGCTAAACAGATTTAGCAATTTGCTTGCAGGTCCTCAACCAGTTTTCAATTCACCTTCCAGAGCTGCCCTCTTCGACTTCCAATTACCCACCGGCTTGAGAGAAGATGTAACAGTGGGAAACTGAGGGGTTGAAGGAAGGTATAGGTGTCTGGGACATAAATTCTTGCCCGAACTATTCAGAATCCTTCCCTCCCTTTTGCTGATTCTCTTCCCTGGAAAAGAGGTCATAGAACATTCACATCCTCAGTCGTGGGCACAGTGTCTACTATGTCAAGAGACCCCCATTTCCTGATCTTTCTTTCCTGTTATAGAATTGTGCTGACAAGGTGTTAAGAACAGATCTTAAACATTTTCGAGTAACAGATCCTTAAAAGGAAAACTATGAACCATCTTTTGAGAAAAATATACAAATTAAATTTTTTCTAAATTTTAGAGGAAACTTTTAATATCCTACCCCTTCCCCCAAAACACACAAGATTGTCATTCTTCTCTTAGAGTATAGATGTGCCAGACTCTCAACAGAGATTGTGCAGTAGCTGCTCCCTGTATAGGATAATACCTTCCAAGGATTACAGGGCAATTCAAAGTCACTATTAGCAGATGTAAGCCGTGTTTTTTGCCCAGCCTCTACCTCCCTCATCCTTTCTTTCTTCTTTATGGTTAGCCATTAAATAAATAAATAAAAATTGCTGACTCTTTTTCTGAAGATAATGTAATTGCATCAAAGACTATCTTTAGAAAAATACAATTATTATTGTTTTTTGGGTGCCAAGTACTGGCCTAAGAACTTTATATAAGTAACAAACAATTCTCACAACAATTCTAATATATAGATGCCAACCATGAATGTTCCCCCTAAAAATTTTAAGGACGAGGAAACTGAGGCACAGAGAATTAACTTGCCAAGGTGCCCTGGGCTGTGTTCTGGCACTCCATGTTAATGCTTAGAATTTTAAATTTGGAAATGAGATGATAGAAGAATGAAAGAGGAGAAAAGAGGAAATGAAAACAATAAAGGATCTTCGGGCTGGGTGCGGTGGCTGAAGCCTGTAATCCCAGCACTTTGGGAAACCGAGGTGAGAGGATTGCCTGAACCCAGGCGTTTGAGACCAGTCAGGGTAACTCGGTGAGACCTCATCTCTACAATAAATCAAAAAACTAGCTGGGCATTGTAGCGTGTGCCTGTAGTTCCAGCTACTTGGAAGGTTAAAGCAGAAGGATCACCTGAGCCCAGCAGCTTGATCCTGGGGTGGCCATGAGTGTGCCACTGCACTCCAGCCTAGGTGACAGAGTGAGACTCTGACTCAAAATATAAATAAATAAAATAAAAAACATAGTATCTTCAAGGGAAAATCAATTGCTCATCAGCCCAGCCTGGAGATATGAACAAAAAATTTAATCAAAGCAAAGGCAGTCAGATAAATTGGCTCATGTGACCAGTCAGACACAAAAGCACATATAAAAACTAAACTGCTCCATTCATTTAATTCAGAGGCTGAATTCAAAACATAAATCTGCTTAGGCCATTAAACTACAAGGTGACCAACTAAATTACCTGTTGTTTTATTTTATTTATTTTTTATTTTATTTTATTATTTTTTTAATCAATATTTTTTATTATGATATTGTGGGATACAGTTAAGGGTTAGGTATACAAATATGCTTCGTTTAGGCACCTTTGTTGATAAGAGGTGTCTCCCTGTCCCCAGACAGATATTTACTACCGTTAATTCCGTCTCCCTTCCCCTCCCCACCCATAGTTTCCCACCACTGTCAGTCATTTTCTTATAGTATTATGTTGGATGCTCAAGGTCCACTATATGAGTGAGAACATGTGATACTCAGATCTTTGTATTTGTGAGAGATTACTCAGTATTATAGACTCTAGTTCCATCAGGTTGTCGCGAAGTTCATGATTTTATTCTTTTTTATGGCTGCGTAGTATTCCATCCTGTATATGTACCACATTTTTTAAACCCAGTCCTCTTTTGATGCACAGCATGGTTGATTCCAGGTTCTTGCTATTGTGAACAATGCTGCAATAAACATTCGTGTGCAGGTATCTTTTTGATAGAGTGATTTGAGTTCTTCAGGGTATATTCCCAGTAGGGGAATTGCGGGATCATATGGGAGGTCAATATTTAGAGCTTTTAGGAATCGCCATACTGTTTTCCACAGAGGTTGCACTAGTTTGCACTCCCACAGCAGTGTAGAAGGGTTCCCTTTTCCCCACACCCTCTCCAGCAACTGTTATTTTTTGAGTTACTGATAATTGCCATTCTGACTGGAGATGGGTTGTTTCTCAGTGTGGTTTTGATTTGCATCTCCCTGATGATTAGTGAGGTTGAACATTTCTTCATGTGTCTGTTGGCTGCTTGGATGTCTTCCTTTGAGAAGTGTCTATTCATATCTTTTGCCCATTTTATAATGGGGTTATTTGCTTTTTTTCTTTTCAGCACGTTTGAGTTCCTTGTAGATGCAAGATGTTAAGCCTTTGTCAGACCTGGAGTTGGCAAATACTTTTTCCCAGTCTGTAGGCTGCCTCCCTGCTCTCTTGATGGTTTCCTTGGCTTTGCAGAAGCTTGTCAGTTTAATGAGGTCCCACTTGTCTATCTTCTCTCTTATGGCCTGTGGGTTTCAGGTTTTGTTCAGGAATTGGATGCCAATTCCAATTTCCATGAGGGTATGTCCTTCATTTTCTAAGGTTCTTATGGTTTGAGGTTTTACATTCAGGTCTCTGATCCATTTAGAGTTAATTTTTGTGTATGCAGATAGATAGGGGTCCTGTTTCAATCTTCTGCACATGGTCAGTCAGTTTTCCCAGCACCATTTACTGAATAGGTTCTCCTCTCCCCAGTGGTAGGTGGTGGAGGCTTTGTTGAAGATGAGTTGGTTGAGAAATTAAGGTTTTGTTTCTGGAATCTCAATTCTATTCCATTGGATTATATGCCTATTCCTGTACCAATACCAAGCTGTTTTGATTATTGTAGCTTTATAGTAAAGTTTGAAGTCTGGGAGAGTGATACCACCTGCTTTTGTTTTGTTTTGTTTTGTTTTGTTTTTTTGCTGAGGATTGTTCTGGCTATTCTTGGTCATTTGTATTTCCATATGAATTCCTGTGTTGTTTTTTCTAGGTCTGAGAAGAATGTTGCTGGCAATTTGATGGGTATTGCATTAAATCTGTAGATTGCCTTAGGTAAGAGGGACATCTTCACAATGTTAATTCTTCCAACCCATGAGCATGGGATATTTTTCCACTTGTTTTCCACATCTTTGATTTCTTTGAGCAGTGTTTTGTAGTTTTCATTGTAAAGGTCTTTCACGTCTCTGGTCAGGAAGATGCCAAGGTATTTCATTTTTTTTTTTTGTGGCTATTGTGAATGGAATTGTGCTTTTTATCTGGGTTTCTGTTTGTTTATTATTGGTGTAAAGAAGTGCGATTGTCTTTTGCACATTTATTTTATATCCTGAGACTTTGCCAAAGTCCTTTATCAGTATAAGGAGGTTTCTGACAGATTCTCTTGGGTTTTCAAGGTACAGAATCATGGCATCTGCAAAGAGAGATAGCTTGACTTCCTCTTTTCCTACTTGGATACCCCTGATTGCCTTCTCTTCTCTGATTGCTCTAGCCAGGACTTCCAATACTATATTGAACAGGAGGGATGAGAGTGGGCATCCTTGTCTTGTTCCAGTTTTCAGGGGAAATGATTCCAATTTTTGTCCATTTAGGAGTAGTGGGTTTCTCGTAGATGGCTTTTACTATTTTGAGGTATGTTTCCTGTATTCCTAGATGTTCGAGAGTTTTTATCAAGAAGCAGTGCTGGATTTTATCAAAACCTTTTTCTGCATCTAATGATATAATCATGTGGTTTTTGTTTTGACATCTGTTGATGTATTTAATTACATTTATGGTTTTATGAATGTTGAACCAGCCTGGCATCCCAGGGATGAAGCCTACTTGGTCATGGTGGATGATCTTTGAGATGTGTTGTTGAATCCGGTTTGCTAGGATCTTGTTGAGAATTTTAGCATCTATGTTCATCAAAGATATTGGCCTGTAGTTCTCTTTCTTTGTTGGGTCTTTACCTGGCTTGGGTATCCATGTGATGTTAGCTTGGTAAAATGATTTGGGGAGAGTTCCATCTTTCTCAATCGCCTGGAATACCTTCAGTAGTATTGGTATCAGCTCCTCCTTAAACGTATTGTAGAATTCTGCTGGAAAGCCATCTGGTCCAGGGCTTTTTTGTAGGTAGTTTTCTTATTACAT